TCTACCCATAATAGGAAAATGGGACACCATGTACAGAAAAATTATTTAATTAAAAATCGAGACGATTAAAGATAATTAAATTACATCTCCGGACGCACGTTGCGAGATAAATTAAAGCTAAAGACGTATCTCGCACGTTCATCTGGCCTCCCACCACTGTTCTTCGTTCTTTAAAAATACATTTATACGGAATTAGATCAAGAGTGAGGGAGGGGGCAGGAAAAATCCCGATTAAATTTTCTAATTAAAGCAAAAATCGAGAACGGGGCACAAAGGAAACTAATCTCCACATCTGCAATTACCACTACACCCGCCGCCATTTCAATTACAACTTCGGATTACTTTCCGGATTCTTTAATAGGAACTCCGGAGCCGTCTCACAACACCCCCTCTTTTATTTCATCCCCTCCTTCCTTTCGGTCAACCCCCTCGATGAGGTGCCTCTTGACTCTTAGAAAGAAAAAAGGACGCAATTGCGAATTCGAATGAAAATTTGTTTGTGTTATCTGATAACAAACCGATCTAAAGTAGCGAAAGCAATAGCAAAAAAATCAAATAGCAGCTGGTTTTTATATATGTATATAATTTACAGGGTGGTCCGAACTGTATTCGGTTCCTGAAACTGCGGCCAGCTAATTCTGCAGATAAAACAGATAAAAATAAGTAAAAAAGTTATTGTATTAATGTATGTCCTAAAATGCTTAGTTTCGGAAATACAGGGTGTAGAAGTTTCATTTTTATTTCGATTTTTTTCCAAATAATTTATGAAGTACCGTCTATATTTGGATGAAAATTGGCGTCCTGGAGTTTCTTGATAGGAGAAATTTGATTTTGATGTCAATATAACTCCTACTTATAGAGGGCACCACCTAAATATTTTTTAATTGGTTTGAAGAGTAATAACTTTTAGTCCGTACCTGTATAAAGCTATTGGGTCGAAAAATATACATTTACGACGTTTTTTACGTAAAAAAGGTCTCTTGGTAAAAATCGCTACGAGCAACCGTTCTTAAGGTAATATTTAGATTAGAAATAGTCAATACATGTCATTATTGACAAAAAATAAACATGTTGAATAGATCGATATTTGACTGAAATGATAAATTTGGGAAATTATAATTTTTTAAATTAATCATAAATTTATCTTTGAAAAAATTAAGATAAAACAGTTTCTGATGAACTTTTGGCACAAAAACATTTGGAATTTATGATTTTAGCCTAATAAACTATTTAGTCAACATGTTTAATTTATGTCAATGATGCCAGGTATTAATAATTTAGATTCCAAATATCTTGGGAACCATTACTGACTGATTTTTTTGCAAAATTTAGACTTTTACATAAAGGTAACTGCTCCATAAATCTAAAATATTTTCAACGTTACAATGTTGCCGCATTATTTGAAAAGTGGTAGCATCTTTCTTATTTTAAATGGAACACCTGGTATACCGGGTGCGTCTCAAAAGTGGCTCACCCCTATAACTTCTTTTTTTTTCAGATAAAAAAAACGAGATTTGGTATGTTAGTATATGACATAAATTAGGATGGATTGGCGTATTCAATTCTTTTCAGCCGCTTCCTGTTTCACCCTTAGATTAACAATAAGTTTCGCCGGAAATGACTACAACTTTTGATTTTTAAACTGTCGGATTTTTTTTTACTTTATTCGATAGAAAATAACATTCTGAATAAAATGACATATCATATGTCAACTTTTGACATTTTCGCTTAAAACAAATTTGAATTTTAAATTTCAATCTAGAGTGCCACAGCTGTCTTAAAAATACTAATTTTTAATCAAGGAGCCTTGGAAAAATAAATTAAATCGTCTAATGTTTTTCGTATTTTGTCCTGGTCGATTAAAACATGCCCATATCGTATTTTTAATCATATCTCATTTTTTTTAATTGGAACGAGGGTGGCTCATTACCATATATTTAGAAAAAGCATTTTTTTAAGAATAATTTGGTACCAAACACTTGGTATTTCGAGTCAAATTGTCGTTATGAATCGCATCTTGCAATTTCAAATAAACCGTATTCGAAAATGTCAAAAGTTGACATATGATATGTCATTCTATTCAGAGTGTCATGTTCTATCGAATAAAATAACAAAATACCGAGGCTGAAATTTAAACTACACGAACGCTGATGCGATCACGGCCGCGATCACATGATCGCTCACGATCAGGGCAGCGATAACATGAGCGATCATTCTAGCACACATCAACGCGTTCATGTTCAGTGCCGTACCTATATGTAGTGCGCCATCCTGTAGGTATACATAGGTACAAATTAAAAATATGGATTATGTATACCGAAAAAAAAACATTCTTAAATATTTACCTACAATATTTTAACTTAAACAATAAAAATGTATACATATATTGTACTATCCAATCCAATTGCAACTCCAATTTTGTCTCAAACTTTTTATTTTTAATTCTATTATTTTTGTAACTTGGATCGGATAAATCATATAGAATTTTGTGCATTTTTACAGCCTAAATTAGCTGCTCTGTTAACTCCATTTCTAAATAGCAACAAGAAAACACACACAAAATATCGGAAAATTCCTATCAGTTGGGTCAATCGATCACGCGATCAAACTCGACAAGTTGAATCCGATCGCCACAGCAGAATAGAACGCCGCCAGGCCGCTTCGTTTCCAAAACTCGATCGCGCCAATGTGAAACGGCTCATATGTATTCTTCAGCAACTTTTGGCCGCGGCCGCGTGGAGATCGTGATCGCGGCCGTGATAGCACCAGTGTGCGTACAGCTTTAAAAATCAAAAAATGTAGTCATTTCCTTTGAAACAAGTGACCGAATAAATCCTAATTTATGTCATATACTAATATACCATAGGTTAACGGAAATCTATATGTTCGATCGGTGAAAATCAACTCATTCAATATTACACTGGGAGAGGCAAAAAAATATTTATTTCCGGTTGTCATAGTATTTTTTTATATATACCACTTTTAGTATGAAGCGGCAACATTGTAATACGAAAAATAATTTAGACAGATAGGAGCAAGCGCCTTTATACAAAAATCCACCATCGGTTCATGGCCGTGAATCATCCAGTATATTTCTCCATCGAAGTTTTCCTTCGTGCTCTGTTCTCTTTTGGGTGAAACCCCGCTTGTGCCGGCTCCGGGTTCGGCGGGAAACCGCCCGGAAAATTGTCAATTCGGTTTCCGGAGCCGGAGCGGCAGACGCGCGGAAATAATAAGAGCGATAAAGGGCGGAAGTATCACCTTCGAAACGTCGCGTAGCGTGGCTTGGACGGTCGGGATTAGGAAGGCAATTTTTTCCAGATCCATTTTTAAATTGAAATCCGAAACTGCTTTTATCCTGGGCGCCACTAAACAGAGATATGCTTCGGATTGATGTGTTGAATCTATAGGAAGTAGGCAGAGGATAGGAAAACAGTACAGGTTGTCCTAAATTACTTATGTATTAGTTAAGAGTCCATTTCACTAGTTCGAAAAAGTAGCAAAATAAGGGTTCGGCATTTAACGTTATATGTAAAACTGGCTAGGTATTTTTACACAAATGAAGAAGGAAATTAAATATAAAGGATTATATTACATCCATATAGTAGCACATTTTAGACAACTTCTTTATTTTTAAGATTTTGATGGTCAAACATCCACAAAATATTCCGTATGTTTGGACTAAATTTTCTCGAAAATAAAGATATAATTTAAAATTCTGTTACTATACGGAAATAGATTGAAGTTTTGTGATTACAGTGATATATAATTTATATGGTTTTGTAACAAATTGCCCGCTATTTTATGGCAAATGCTAAAAGTCTGCAAACCTTAATGAAGCCTTAATCAAAGCACGTGTGTTTGGAATTTTGGATGTGGCTTAACACGGCAGGATCGGACTAAAGCTTGATTTTCATGCATCCGTTGTCCGAAGATACGTTGATACGATATTAATTTTATTGGTAGAATTTAAAGACTTTGATTGGTTAGAAAGCAACGCAGTTTTTAAATTTATTGCATTTTCATGCCTCCGTTTATCGGATATAACGTTGGTGTTATTTTATATTTTCGCTTCTATAACTATTTTGCTATTTTACTTATATTTTTATTAAGGTTATATTAAATTTGCCAAAAAAGTGTCAAAACGTCCATTATCGTATGAACGGGTCCGTTGACGGGCTGAAGTAAAATATTTACGGATGAAAAGTGGCGCGAAAACGCTATGACCTATGACCAATCAGAGCACCGTCGGACCAACGTATCAACGTATAACGGATGCATGAAAATCAAGCTTGCCTTAGGCAGATTTCTGAAATGTAACATATATTTCCTTCGGTCACACACCCGCTTTACCTGGTCCCTGAGAGCGACCAGAACAGTACAGCGTAATAGAGTCTTAAGAATGTCTTTGGGTATGGGGTATGGCGCTCATGCTTTTGAACCACTCAAGCTAATAAATATAATATAAAAAGTAACTTATTTATGCAGAAATAGCTCCTTAATATTGAATTTGAATCAAAAGATTGCAAAATTTCATAGGGTAAAAATCTCCAAAAATTGCTTATGAATCTCGTTATGAATACATTTTCATCCTTTTATAGAAAATGTCACCACTATTTCACCCCCTTATGCGATGAATATCAGAAATCGCTTCTAGTGTTCAATTCCGCCGCTTAAGAAACCTCTGTGCAAAGTGTGTATTATAACTTCTTGTACAGATTTTATTTTTTTACTAATAATAATACAATATTGGAATGTTTGGAAAACATTTTGTATTTTTTTTACTTCTTAGTTAAAAATAACATAACTTGTTGATTAAATTTTCTAAGATTAAATTTGCAAGATTGAAAAATCAACATTTCTTTTTAATTTTCAAAATAAAATAACTCTGTTATTTTTGACTTATTTAACAAACGACAAAGAGAAAATATGTTTCTTTTATCGATATCTATCAGTCCTAAAAAAATTTACCCTCTCATTTATACCCTCCCAATTAAAACTTCTTTTTCGTAATAAAATGTATATTTACTTTTATAAAAACACAGTAAAAAGTTACAAAACTTTAATAATTACACTGTCTCCAGAATTCAGTACAAGGTCATTGTCAGTGAGCCTGCAACAAAATTAATATATAATTTTCATTTACTTTACACTGCAATAAAAAATAAACCTCCTGTACATGTTTAACTTACCCTTGAGTGTATGCCAAGTTCACACTTGGTATAACTACGGTATAATTCTGGTCCAAACTAACAGTCAAAGCTTCGTTTCCAGTATTGAAGTATAGCCTGTATGTACTTTGGTGTGGATCATCCAAAGCCTTCTGCACTTCCAACAAGCGATTATTCAGCAAACTGTTGACAAAGATGTAACTCGAATTATATGCGCTCAGTGACGCTTTCAGCTGAACCAAGTCAGTGTAGACGTGATAATGACTCCTGCTAGCCAATCTTTCTTCCTGCAAGTTTGTTTCCAAGTATTTCGAGCTGACTGGAAGCCATGTTGGTGCACCTTCGTTAAACCCAGCGTTGGTAGAGTTGTCCCACTGGAACGGAGTTCTTTCGAAGTCTCTCGTGGTTTCGTTGAAAGTTGTGCAGTTCTTTATCGCACTGGGGTCTTGACCTTGCTCACAAGTGACCTCTCCGTTCTCTTGACCGATTTCTTCAGCCATGTAGGTGATAGTTACTCCGTCGAGGAAGGATATGAGCATGTTGTAGGCGTCTACTCGGGATTGGCCCACCTTTGAGGCTACTCTGTGGTTGTCGTGGTTTCCCGTCTATAAAAACATTGATTTAGGTTCAACAATTAATTCAATCAAACTTATTTTGGAATGAGTTTCAGATATAGGCTTGAAATTAATATACAGGGTCCGGCAATAGTGCGTCGGGCATCTGTAGCTCCTAGAATAAAAAACTTGGAAATTTTGTTTAAGTGCAAACCTAAAGTATGTACTAGGATGTATTTCAGGAAAATATTTTAACTTCTATAGGGTGGCTCAAAAAAGTGAGAGTGGATCGGCATTATTTTTTTTAAATGGAACACCCTGTATATTATTGCATTTTTGGCTTCCTGTTAGATCACTTTACATAATCCTAAGACATGAGCAAATATATTTCAGAGATATTAATAAATACATAAAAATTATATATTTTTTAGCCTTTCTTAAAAAATTATTAATAATACAAGAACTGTCCTGAAATCAAAACTATATTAGATAATTACTTTAGATGGTCTGTACTATGGAAATCGTAAATCATATAGGATGTTCAAAATTCTACGCCAAACTTTCTAAAATATAAAATAATTTTTCTTTGTTTTTTTAAATGGAACACCCTGTATATTATTTTTTCAATAGATGGAGAATTAAAAAATGAACATTTTTTGCATTTAGAGTATTTCAAAATGTTTAACAATTTCGCAGATATTCCCGGTTTTGTATTTTATACGGCATTTTCCACAGTAAATTTTTATCAAAGCCACCCAATGATTTTTCTCTCGTATACCATTGAAAGCGCCATATGAAATAATACTGCGTGTATCCGGAAAACTATTAAAATTTTTGAAATACTTTAAATACAAAAAATATTCATTTTTTAATTTTCTATCAAATAAAAAAAGAATATACAGGGTGTTCCATTTAAAAAAACGAACAAAAATGATTTTATATTTTTGAAAGTTTGGCGTAAAATATTGAACATCCTGTATGATTTACGATTACCATATTTATAGCAAAGTAAGAACAGACCCTCTAAAGTAAATATCTAATATAGTTTTGATTTCAGAACAGTTCTTGTATTTTTAATAATTTTTTTAAGAAGTGTTGAAAAAAATATATTTTTGATTTATTTTTTAATATCTCTGAAACTATCGAAATAGATTTACTCATATCTTAGGATTATGTAAAGTGATCTGAAAAGAAGCCAAAAATGCAATAATATACAGGGTGTTCCATTTAAAAAAAATCATCCAGATCCACTCACACTTTTTTGAACCACCCTATAGAAGTTAAAATATTTTCCGGAAATACATCCTCATACATACTTTAGGTTTATACTTAAACAAAATTCTCTAGTTTTTTATTCTAGGAGCTACAGATGCCCGACGCACTATTGCCGGACCCGGACCGGAATTTTTGAAAAACTTTTGTAATTTTCTGTGTTGAATAATGAGGAGGAGTCTATTACTTTTTTCCTTTGCAATAAGATTCGAAAACGATTTGGTTTATATTTATTTCTTTCGTGTGTAGATCTGAAATCGATAACTTTGATTCGTCTGGCTGGAAAATTAAAAAATATATTTTGGCGGACAAAGTTATCAAGGTTTTTCAAATACTTTAATTAAAAAATAATAAAAATATCAGTTCAATGTCAACTTTGTCCGTCAAAACCATAGATAAAAGAAAATAATCTTCTATTAAGATAGACATGAAACTTAATAGTAAAATTTTGGGTCAAAGCGCCCCTCCGTGTTCTTAGTAGAGACTACGTTTAACCCAGCGCCTTCGCCTTTTCTGTTGTAAATATTTTTTATGTTTATATTTGATTTCAAAGGATTTAGTTTTAAAGTTACACTGATATATTAGTATATCAGAGTAACTTTAATAAAACATAAGAATATATATATTTTACAGTTTATTAAATATAAATTTTGACTACAAGGTAGAAAGTAAATCACAATATTTGACAAAACTTATAAGTATACCATTTTTATAGTTAATAAATAATAAAACTATTTCTGACTATGATATTTAAAATTTAGATAGATAGAATATTAAAAAACATACCGGTATTTGCAAACGCAGGCCCAAATTCAATAAAAACCAAAATTTTTCCTGCGAAAATCGGGCTTTTTTTACAGAAAAGGTATTTTTTGATTTATCAACAATCATTGTCAAGTTGACAATATACAGGGTTTTTTTCTAATTAGTCTAAAAAATTGTGGTGTGATTCCTCATGTCTTCTTAAAACAATTTTTATATAACCATTAGGTCTAAAGTACTTCCTTTCTGATCTACAGCGTGTTAAAAATTAAAAAAAATCGATATTTTGCTTAACATAAATGGTACAGTACTGCTTTTTTAAAGAAAATATATTTTTTTCTTGACTGGCCATCCTTTTCAACAAAATTGATCTTTTGAGTTTTTCTTGTTCATCAAACGGTTGCCGAGAAAAAAATAAATATACTTATTAAGAGTCCGCCTTAAGCCGTTTTCTAACGATTTTTTATTTTTTAGATTAGTTAGGAAACACCCTGTATATGCATATCACAGGCAACCAAATAAACTAGTAACCTCTAAAAATTATTTTTCCTACCATTAGCGACGTACCGTGTTTTTAGTGAGTAGTAAATTATTTTATCAAAATTTCACCATATAAGTGTCCAGGCAATGGTCAAAACTAATTATTCAATTTGGCAGTTGGACAAATCACATACAAAGTGGTCGATTTCATTACACTACAAATGAATGAGAAAGACCCAACCGTTTTCAATTTTTTTTCGTAGAGGAAAAAAGGGGTATGACTCTGCACAATCAAGCAACACTGAAAGTTACAGAAGTATTTCAATAGTACCATATATTTGTTGGCAAGTCAGAGCCTAATCAGCAATAGTATGAATCAAATTTTGGAATACACTAATTTATAAAAGATTCTTACCAGCCAATTGAAGGTGTAGATAGAGGGAAGGTTTTGATACCAAACGGTGATGTCTGATTGGAGGTCAGCAGCTGTGGTATTCTCGTTGATACCCAAGAAATAGAAATTGAAGGTGAAATGAGCGCCTAAGACTGTACCGTTTTCGTTACCGTAGTATTTTACTAGATTTTCCATATCACTGGAGCATTCCGTCATAAACATTCTAAGAAAAATAAGGGAAATATACCTTTAAAATAATCCATAGTTGAGAAAAATGCTATCTAAAATCTAGATTTAACCCACCCTGTATAAACCATTCAATATAATGTATTTAATTGCATGGTATAACCAGTACGTTATATATTTTATCTACAAAAATAATTCTTAAAATGTGCTCTACCATTACCCTGCTGTTTTTTAAAGAATGATTGGAGTAAAAATCTCAAAAATTCTGAGATAACGCTTTTTTGGAATACTGGTGTTACCATACACACAGTCAACATATCAGTTACTTACCTGGTGTCACCCCCAACAGTATTGGTGTAATTGTCAAGATGAGTTCTCCAACTGTAGACCAGCTCGAATGTTTCTGGCTGATCTTTGGTGTAGATGTGATTAAGGTAGTTCCAATTCGTGTCGTCCACTCCAGAATCGGGTACTATTGGTTCGTCTCTCAAAAGTTCGTCCTCGTAAATATGAGGAACTGCGTCAACCCTAAATCCGTCTACGCCAATGTCTAACCAGTAGGTAAGAATGTCCTTAAAAGAAAGTTTAGTTTGTTATACCAAAAAATATATAAATATAATATAATTATACTAAAGTTCTTATACTAAGTAAAACATTAATGAAATATATAGGGGTGAGTCAATAGGATAATAGGGGATAAGTGCAACATAGGGGATAAGTGCAAATATTTTTATGAGTTTATGAGTAAAACACTTTTATGAGTTTTTTTCGCAAAAAAATTGAAAATTTGAGATTTTTTTAAAAAAAATGTTAAAAAAGTTTTTTAAATTTTAGTTAAAAAAGACAGTATATTAAATTTAGAAAAAAGAAACCCCCAAAAGTCCAGTGGTTCTCAAAATTTAAGTAAAGTATCATTTTTTTTTTAATTTTCAATATACCTCGGTTATTTTGGACTAATCTGAAAAACGGTAAAGATAAAATATGTTTCTTTTATAGATATCTACCAGCCCTGAAAATATTTGCTCTTTTTTGAGACTCACCCTGTATAAATTTATTATATTTAAATTCAACTCAAATGTGGCAACATTTAAAAAATGCTATAACCTAATTTATTAAACTTGTATAAAAAACTTCAGAGAAATAAGTAAAATTAGAGACTCAAAAAACAAAAAGGCAGTACATTAAATTTACAAAAAAGCCCCAAAAATCCAGGTTCTGAAAATTTAAGCAAAGAATAATTTTTTTGAAATTTTCAAAGTAAAATATCTCGGTTATTTTAGACTTATCTGAAAAACGGTAAAGAAAAAATATGTTTCTTTTATCGAGATCTACCAGATCTGAAAATATATGCACTTATTTGAGACTTACCCTGTATACATTTATTATATTTAAATTCAATGTGGCAACATTTAAAAAATTCCATATACATGGTGTCCCAAAAATAAGTGCAAGTATTTCAACTGGTAGTATAGTTCAACCCTTTTTTTTATTTTTTTTTATATTGGGCAATTCTTGTCCGTTGATAAATAAATAATAATAATAATAATAACCCCAGAAACACAGGTTTTTTTCGCGAAAAAAAATTGAAAATTCGAAATTTTTTGAAAAAAAATTTGGAATTTTTTTTAGTTTTCAGTTAAAAAACATAATTTCTTGATAATATGGCAACATAGGTAAAGTATTAAATTTACAAGAAAGAAAATCCAGAAAAGATCCAGTGGTTCTCAAAATTTTAGCAAAAAATCATTATTTTTGGAAATTTTCAAAGTAATATAACTCGGTTATTTTGGACTTATTTGAAAAAAAAAAAAATATGTTTCTTTTATCGAGTTGTACGACCTCTTAAAATACTTGCACTTATTTCTGGGACAGCCTGTATAACCTAATTTATTAAACTTGTATAAAAAAACTTCAGAGAAATAAGTAAATATAGAGACTCTCTAACATTTACGTAATTATATTAGTCTACGTTTACTTATTTTCCTGAGAATAAAAGTAATAAAACTATAAACAATAATTTAAAGAAAACAAATTAAATAAGTTTATTATTGTTACCTTCATTTCTTGTCTCACTTTTTCACTGCGATAGTTTAGATCTGGTTGCTGAATGGAAAATTGATGGAAATAGTACTGTTGTCTTTGTTCGTTCCATTCCCAGCCAGAAAATGACCACAAACTAAGCTAAAAAAGATGACCAAATTGTGGAAAAAATACTAGTAATTTTATCTGCTAGGAAACGAAATAACTTACCCAGTTATTGGGTGGTTGTCTCACACCATCATCATCAACATATCCATCATTCCACAAATAATAATCTTCATACCCTTCCTCCCTTGCTACAGACTTGTTAAACCATTCGTGCAGGTTACTCGTGTGGTTCGGCACAAAATCCAAAATAAGCTTCAATCCATTCTTATGAGCAGCCTCCAAAAGCTCTTTAAAATCGCTCAGATTCCCATATTCTGGTGCAATAGATCTGTAGTCGCTAATATCATACCCAGCATCCACCATGGGTGACTTGTAGATAGGCGAGAGCCAGATGGCATCAACTCCCAGTTCAACAAAGTAGTCAATCTTTGAGATAATACCTTGTAAATCACCGATGCCATCGTTGTCGCTGTCCTTGAACGATCTGGGGTAAATTTGGTATATAACCGAGCTTTTCCACCAATCGGGGCCAGTCTTGGTTGCTTGGTAACTGTATACCAAGACGGAAAGGACCAGGAAAGTAAGCCTTACAAGGACCTTCATGATGAGGACTGGTTATCTTGTCTAGAACGTGCAAGGTTTTATACTGACACTTTAAACTTATCTGTGAGTTAAAAATTTCGCTCTGCAAAAAATATAAAAATTATTTACATGTTTATCAAAGTATGTTTTTTTCTATTTATTAAATTGAGATATGAAATTCACGCTCAAGTGGTTTTGGACTTGTTCAATTTAATGTATAAATATAATGTATGCTTGTTGTTTATACGAGGCAAGTCAATTTTATTTAAATAAAATAACAGGTCATAAAATAGGTAGATTTGAAACAAAAAAAAACTGTTTTTTAATATGCAGAATTATTTTAATTTACCAAACTATTTCTTTTATACACTCATCGGCACGAAAAACGGGCACCTTAAAATTTCGATGTATTTTAAAGTTTTATATACAGAGCGAGTCTAAAATAAGTGCAAATATTTTCAGGGCTGGTAAATCTCGAAAAAGAAACATATTTTCTCTTTACCGTTTTTCAAATAAATCCAAAACAACCGACATTATTTTATTTTGAAAATTACAAAAAAACAGATTTTTCGCTTAAATTTCGAGAACCGGTAGATCTTTTCTGGGTTTTCTTTCTTGTAAATTTAATCGACTACCCATATGTTGCCTTATTATAAAGATATTATGATTTTTAACAAAAAAAATCCAAATTTTCAAAAATTTTTGGTGTTTCTGGGATCGAAATATACAATCCCTAAAAATATTTGCACTTACTTAAGACTCACCCTGTATTGTGTTTTGATGATCTTTTAAGCAATTTGTGGCTAAATTATTTGAAATTTTAGTGTCTCTTTTCAAATTAAAAATGAAATTTCCCATCTGTCAAATATAAAAGAACCCACAAAATTTTGTTATTTTGATGAAATTTTTGAACTCCCTGTGGAATATATTAAAAAATCAAGGAATTTGAAAATAATTTTATGATTTAGGTCCATGTTTTTTCGATAATTTATTTTTTGGTTTATCTGGATAGCTTTATTTTTTTTTGGAGATATTCGCTTTTGAAGAAAACACTAACATTTTTTCGTATTTTTTATATTTTTTCATTCCGAAGGTTTTAAATAAAAACTACTTTTAGTAATAAAAAATATATTATTTTTGTAAAAACACTGAGTAAAAAAATTACGAAACTTTAATAATTACACTGTCTCCAGAACTCAATACAAGATCATTGTCGGTTAACCTGGAACAAAAACAATATTCAATTTTAATTTTTTATCAACTCCTATAAAAAATAAACCTCCTGTATATATTTAACTTACCCTTGAGCGTATGCCAAGTTCACACTTGGTATAACAACGGTATAATTCTGGTTCAAACTAACAGTCAAAGCTTTGTTTCCAGTATTGAAGTACAGCCTGTATATACTTCGGTCTGGATCATCCATAACCTTCTCCACTTCCAACAAAGCATCATTTTGCGAACTGGTGATCAAGATATAACTCGAATTATACGCGCTCAGTGACGCTTTCAGCTGAACCAAGCCAGTGTAGACGTGATAATGGCTCCTGCTAGCCAATTTTTCGTTCTGCAAGTTTGTTACCAAGTATTTCGAGCTGACTGGAAGCCATGTTGGCGCCCCGTCATTAAACCCAGCGTTGGTGGAGTTGTCCCACTGGAACGGAGTTCTTCCGAAGTCCCTCGTGGTTTCGTTGAAAGTTGTGCAGTTCTTTATCGCACTGGGGTCTTGACCTTGGGCACAAGTGACCTCACCGTTCTCTTGACCGATTTCTTCAGCCATGTAGGTGACGGTCACTCCGTCCAGGAAGGTGATGAGCATGTTGTAGGCGTCTACTCGGGACTGGCCCACTTTTGAGGCCACTCTTTGGTTGTCGTGGTTTCCGGTCTATAAAAACATTGATTAAAGTTCAAAAATTAATTCAATCAAAATTATTTTGGAATGAGTTTCAGATATAGGCTTGTAATTAATAAATGAGTGGAATTTTTGGAAAACTTTTGTAATTTTCTGTGTTGAATAATTAGGAGTCTATTACTTTTTTCCTTTGCAATAAGATTCGAAAACAATTTATTTTATATGTAGGCTGGGAAATTAAAAAATATATTTTGGCGGACAAAATTATCATGGTTTTTCAAATACGTTAATCAACCAACAATAAAAATATCAGTTCAATGTCAACTTTGTCCGTCAAAACTAATCATTCAGTTGGACACAATTTCGCAGAATCACACACAAAGTTGTCGATTTCATTAGACTACAAATGAATGAGAAAGACCCAACCGATTTAAATTTTTTTTTCGTAGAGGAAAAATGGGGCAGAAAATTAAGCAAGACTGAAAGTTACACAAGTATTTCAATAGTATATCACATATTTGTTGGCAAGTCAGAGCCTAATCTGCAATAGTATGAATCAAATTTTGGAATACATTTGATCAAAACCATCAAAATGTTTTTCAAACTAATTTGCTATATGTGTTTTTATTAGACAATTCATTTTGTTTGTGGCCCTAAAAATATAATGTAAGTCATTTATTTTTGCTATCATTTAAGTACCTATTTATATTTACTCCATTTACAAAATTTTGGGCGTATTACGTTGGTCTTGTTTTATTATAATAAACGATGTTTAAATATTTGACTTATAATTAAAATCTTTAAAAATAATAAATAATATTTACACATGTTCGGCTTTAATTTTATTTAATAATTGTATAAATTATACTGTTAAATCTTATTTTTTACACATCACAACGATACTTGTTATTAGTATTGTTGAATTTGTGTAAAAAATAAGATTTAATAATCAAATTTAATTATATATTTTAGAGTAGAATACAATAAATACGCTCATTTAAAAAGCCCTACTCAATAGATGGCGCCACTTCTGTAGCACCATTTTTCAGTATGGCAGAGTCCATTCTCTTTCTAGCTAGGTATATTCTTTGGAATACACTAATTTATAGAGGATTCTTACCAGCCAATTAAATGTGTAGATTGAGGGAAGGTTTTGATACCAAACGGTGATGTCTGATAGGAGGTCAGCAGCTGTGGTATTCTCGTTGACACCCAAGAAATAGAAGTTAAAGGTGAAATGAGCACCTAAGACTGTACCGTTTTCGTTACCGTAGTATTTTACTAGATTTTCCATATCACTGGAGCATTCCGTCATAAACATTCTAAGGAAAATATAGAAAATACATCTTTAAAACAATCCATAGCTGACAAAAATGCAAATCTACAATCTACTTTTAACTCACTCTGTATAAACTATTTAATATAATGCATTTTAATTCATGGTATAACCAATACGTATATTGATATTTTATCTATAAAAATAATTCTTAAAATGTGCTCTACCATTACCCTGCTGTTTTCTAAAGAATGATTTCTAGAGAATGATTCTTTGAGTAAAAATCTCAAATAAAATCCTGCTACAACGCTTTTTTGAAACATTTTCTTTGAAACACTGGTGCACTCTGTATATGTATAGTGCTTTGATATTAATTTTTCAATTAAATTATTTTAAAAAAAACTTATTTAGAGTAACGTAGTAAACAAAAAGTACAAAATTTATCTGGCAATTATCGTAAAACAAACTACATAATTATTTAATCGAATATTTTGTTATGTAAAAGTATACATTTCAATGTAATACCACCTGATAAAATTTGAAGTATTGTGATAATAATGTTTATTTAATATAATTCCATGTCGGAGAACAACATAGATTCTATTGGCACTTTTTTATACAGGGTAAGTCTGAAATAAGTGTTAATATTTTTAGGACTGGTGGGTCTCGATAAAATAAGCTTATTTTCTCTTTACCGTTTTTCAAATAAGTCCAAAATAACCAAAGATATTTAAACTCGGGAGACAGAATGATCCATTCATAAAACGCTCTAAAGCTTCATCACATACTGGTTTGCGAAAATCAACGAGTGCAAGAGAGAATGAATAGAGAAGGAAATAGGGGTATCTGCTCGATGGCAACAATGTAGTTGTGTACAAAGATTAGACGTTTGAGATTAATTTCCAGTGGCGTGCCGATCGACCGACAGTATTTTAAGGAAATTAAAATAATTGTTTAATAAATTAATATAAACTAATAATTAAACTTACATCTTACATATTTGTCGCATTGTAAAAAAAATAAGTTGAGGGAGGATAGCGAAATAAAATAAAAACCGACATAATTTTTTATTAAAAGATGGCTTTTCACATAAGAATAACGATTAAAAAATTAATAAGCGTTTTTTACTTTATTTTATTAAATAAAATATCAACTTTTAGGTGTATTAGTAAATGCAGTTTCAATATCTTGTTCCAAACCTTGTTCGTATCCGGCGAATGAGATTCCCTCTATTAGGAATAACAAAATAAAATAGTTATTTTAACCTAATAACACAATATTTTACCAAAAACCAATATTTGTAGAGTTCACATATTTTTGATAAAAACTTTATTATTATATATATGAATAAAATTTAAAATGTGCCTTATAATTTTTATTAGTTCACAATTGTTCATTAATGAGGAAATAAGAAGTAAGAAAATTCAACATTTTTTATTTACCTTAACTTTCATTTTAGGGATGTTTCAAACACAGTAAATCAGAACTGAAAATATAAGATGTATATTATACCGTATGATCGAATAAAAACGGCGTCAGCGATGGCTATGAAATAAAGATCGCTGTCAAAATTCCATCTTTGGTACACCCCAATGGTTTGTCAAACCCAAGTAGGTACCTAGATTAGATTTATTCTTATAAGAAAGTACGGTTTTTTCGAAAATTGATGTTGTTTATAAATTACAGGCGGTTTATAGAACTTAAATTTAATTTTTAACATTCAATACCCTTTCTTAAAAGGGAAACAGAAATTGTTATTAACTTATTGGTAATTAGTATGTACCATGTATCTTTTTCCTACAAATAATTTAATTAATAAATATATAATTTAAAAAACATAATAAATATATGATTTAAAAAATAAACCTAAAAATATAATTTAGCGATCTGCTATTTTTTATGTCTAGATACGCCTCTGATCTACAG